CGCCCTCCGAGGGCTCTGGAGGTTCTGGGAGGGGCTGCGCGGGGCCCCATCCCTAGGGTGCCCATCGCGCCCCGATCCAGCCCAGACCTTTGGTCTCCGCGCTTCGTGCCAGGCGGAAGGTCTCGACCCCTTTCCCCGGCTTCTCCACCTGCGGCCCGGCGGAAGGGAGGGGAGGCGGGCCCGCCAGCGCTCGTGTGAAGTTAATTCAATTCGTCCCGATAACCGAGTTATTCGGAGCCAGCCCCTCGGCCCCGCCCCCAGCGAGGTTCCCCGGCGGGGGGACCGAGGAGGCGGCCCGGGAGGGGGCACGGAGACGGGGCGGGGAAGGGACGGAGCCTGGGATGGGGACTGGGGCCCGGAGAGGAGACGGAAGCGAAGGCGAGGAGGGGATGGGACGCGCCAGATGCGGGTACACAGCTGGAGACGAGCCTGAGCCGCGGACGAGAGAGGGAGACGAAGGTGAAGCGAGGACTTGGGAAGAGCAGGGTGGCGATGGGGGCCAGGCGGAGCCCGAGGAGGCGGGATGAGTGAGAGGCCGGGGGACGGAGAGAGGGCGGAGGCGGCGTGGAGACGGAAGGCGCAGGACGAGACGGCGATCAGGGGAGAGAGGCGACGGAACAGGGCCGTGACCGCGAGGCTGCCGCAGACAGAGGGGCGGCCTCGGAAAGACACGGCCAGGGGCCGACCCAGCGGAGACACCGAGGCTGAGGGGCAGAGAGAAAGAGCCTGCGGAGAGCCGAGGCCCGCGGGCTGGGCGCCCAGGGACGGGAAGCATCGCGGTGCGGGCGTCGGGGCGGCCGCCGAGGGGGAGGGTCGACGAGCCGAGGTCCCTCCATCTTCCTGACTTGTCCTGAAGGCCACAGGCCCTTGTCCTGAACTTCCTGGGCCCGGCCTGCCTCTCCCGCTCCCGGCCCCCCCCGCCCAGTCCCCCTCCCCACAGCCATCTGACGCGACCCTCTGGTTCCCAGCACCTCCAGCGCAGACCGTGTGATGAATGTCAGGGCAGGAGCAACCCAGTGACACCTCTCCTCTCCCTCAGCCTCTCGCCTCTCTTCTCCAGAGAATCTTCTCTCCTCCAGGAAAACCACCTAGACTCAGTCCGGACCTGGCCACAGACACCCTGGCCCTCGGGGGGCTGGGCCAGGGCACCTACACTGCGGGACAATGGGACACACAATTCTTTCCGAGCAGCTCACCTGAGGTGGATTGGACGGGCTCCCCACCCAGTCCCCAGCCTCCCAAACCCAAATCTTGGCAGGTTCTGCAGATGGGGGAGTGGAAACCCAGCAAGAAGCCAGGGGAGGGGGCACCTTTATTACCTAAGTCCCTGGGGATGAGAATAGGGCTCCCAGAACACACACCTCCCCCACCGCCCCAGCTTACTAGCTCAGTGGGGAGCATGCACAGCCTCAGATCACCCACTTCTCTGGTCACCCGTTCTTTGGTTCACACAAGGACTCCTCCATGCCAGGGGGCTCTTTGAGGCGTTTTCACTAATTACTTTTTATGTCTAAACTTCTAAAACTGACAGTAAAACTGCTTCAAAAAGTTCTCCCCACTCCTTGTCAGTTCTCTCCCTTGACACATCCCCTACAGGGAGCACAAGGGACCTCAGAACTGGGAAATCAGACGGTGCCACGGCTTTCTTTAGACCTCCCATGGCTTTCCATTGCCCTCAGGACCAAATCCAAGCCCTCTCTCTGAATAGTGCCTGGCACATAGTAAATATACAAATAAATTGGCTACTACCTCCACCAACCCTTCTTCCTGTCATCAAGTGACTGAGCCCTGTGTGACTAGACCCAGACCACTCTGTGGCCAGGCTCCTCTGCTCTGTTACACCTGATACCTGGCTGTGTAATCTGGACACAGGCCCCTATCTTTGCATGGCAGTGTCACCTCTTCCCTAAAGATTTCAGTAGCTATTAGGCCCTGCAGAGTTACCCAGCCTGGCCCCTTCCTTTTTGCAGATGAAGAGACTGAGGCCCAGAGAGGGGTCCTGTAGGAAGAGCGGAAGTAAACACAGTGGGAGTGCGTCAGGCTGGGAGGATCCCCCCTCCCCCCCGAAAGAGCAGCAATTCGAAAAGGAACCTGGGGAGGGGTACGATGGGAACTGTCCTTTTTCTTCTGCTCTGATCCCAACTCTGATACTAACTTGCTCTGTGAGTCTGGACAGTGGAAGCACCTTGGGAATAGATGAGGAAGGACCCATGCCCTGGAGAGCTCTTTCTGCTTGTACCCTTTTGGAGAATGGCGGCCTGGGGATTCCTAGAGATCAACACCTTATTCCCACTTCTACGGCAGCCACTGGCCTTAGCCTCCCCTCAGAGCTCTGAGCAAGGATCTCCTGGGCTCAGGGCATGGCCACCATGCTGATTTATTAATCCAGTGCACTCCTTGTCGGTCCTCTCCTGAGAGGGGAAAGCGTGGAGCAGTGGCTCCTCCCTGCCACTGAAACACATCTTCTCACGGTCTGAAGCAATATCTTCAGTGTCATCATTGTACAACTATGATTGGAAGCCAAGCTTGATCAGACATCCATGTGTAACTTCTAATAAGGGATGGAGCTTATCTATCAGTGAAAAGTTAATATTGTCTGGTCCTGCTTAAGGACCCTAAAAACAGAATACCTCCCCCCCCCATCCCTATTCTCAAATCCCTGTTCTCTCCTGCTGGGACTTTCTGGTCCAGGAAGGGTTGCAGGGAAGCACATTAACTGTGTATTTTCCCAACCTGTCTATCAGGACCTACAGTCTCTTGTTCTCTCTGTTATGGGAACAACACCTGTTCACCTTTATTTTCTTCCCACTAATATGTTAGGGTACCCAGTCTTCAACTAATTTCTTTTCTTTTTTTAAATCCTCACCCGAGGATATATTTAGAGAGATGAAAGGGG